GCTCACGTAATAAATCAAACACTGACACCCCGCCCACCTCTTTCCATTTTTGAAAATGCTCCCTTATATACACTTCTATCCATGTCATGAATATCCAATTGAAAGCTCAGAATGTCCCCCTAGTGGCTTTCTCAGCCATTTTCAAATATAAAGTCATTATATCTTTGTTTTCATACAAGCCAGCATAGAGGTAAGTCAAGTCTTTAGACAGCTCGAAATTTCATATTTTTTAGACCCAAATTCAGCCTTGTTACTAAAATTTATAAATTATAATTGAGTTCTATGGTATTGATATAGTAATTTATGATTTTTTTTAGTTATTCAAAAGTAAATATATATAAATGCTAAAAAAATATTTTGTTTCATATCCTCCATGTGCAAAATTTTTAAAGGTTTAGCAACCTATGTCAAGCAGCAACCGAGTACAAAAGATTATATAATTGTTTGCTTTACTTCTTTAATTACTGTTCTATATATTAAAGAAAAATATGTTTAAGAACTTATTTCTAAACAGCAATAATCTATATACATATATAATGTATAATAATTGAAATGTGACAGTATTTTACAAAGTACTAGTCTACTAAAACACAGCCAAGACAGGTTACTTTGTAAAATACCAAAGGTAAGCTTTATGTTACTGGATACAGTTACATGAGTGCATGTGAGCCTCATAATTGTAATTTCTGTATTGTTAGCCAGTCACAGCTGAAAGGTCAATATAATAAAAATAATAAATGTATAATGTTATCAGATTTAAGCTACCTAGTCTAATCATTTATGTTTTCATGTTATAATTTGTGTTCATTCTAGAATGAAAGAGGCATAATTTATATTTATTTCCTAATTTTGTATGGTGGTTGCGAGATCGGTCATATCTCCAGAACCTGTACAGAGATTAATTACTGAAAATAACAGATAAAATATAGTTTTTTTCTTAAGAAACATTTGATAGCTTTCTGGACATTATAAAGATTTTGCATGTGAAATTTGAAAATTTTCTGATGCATAAAAGTATTTTTAATTTTAAAATGAAAATTATTTTGCATGAGAAAAACATTGCTTTACAAACCTTAAGACGTAACAAAAAAATTATATTTGTGTATGAAAGCATTGTAATGTTTACTGCTGGCGAGCGAGGCATGTTATGATGCGTGGCAGTGAAAGCCGCAAGGAAGCTGTCGCGCTGATGTCGCTGGACTCGCCCAGAGGACTTGTCCCGAGTGCTTGTGTATGCATGGCTTAGATGCTGTGCCCCCGCCTGTATGTGCTCCACCATTTCCGTATTCATGGTGTGTTAGATCCCACTTTTGTCCCCATTTTCTTGTAATAATAATTCATGATTGTGTGGCAGCTAAGCATCGGTAGAATTATCGATGTACTGCTGTCTATGATGATGATGAATGTTTACTGATAATATGCCAAATTTCGTTAACAATCACCTAATAATTTAAAAGTTATAGCATGAAAACTAACAAGCACAAAATGGTTATGAAATCAGTACCAGGGACTGAGCCTGTGCTAAAGGTTAAAAGAGTATTTTTTTTATGACTTTTCGATTAGTATTTTGAAGGTAATAATTATCATGTAAGGTTAAAAAAGGTTTCTATGATAGTTAGATACAGTGTTTTACAGGTAATAAGAAACTAACATGTAAGGTTGAAAAAAGGATTTTATGATAGTTAGATACAGTGTTTTACCGGTAATAAGAAACTAACATGTAAGGTTAGAAAAGGATTTTATGATAGATACAGTGTTTTACAGGTAATAAGAAACTAACATGTAAGGTTAAAAAAGGATTTTATGATAGTTAAGATACAGTGTTTTACCGGGAATAAGAAACTAACATGTAAGGTTAAAAAAGGATTTTATGATAGTTAGATACAGTGTTTTACAGGTAATAAGAAACTAACATGTAAGGTTAAAAAAGGATTTTATGATAGTTAGATACAGTGTTTTACCGGTAATAACAAACTAACATGTAAGGTTAAAAAAGGATTTTATGATAGTTAGATACAGTGTTAACAAAAGAGTTAGAATAATGTTTATAAATACTATATTATTTGTAGGAAAACAAGAGAGTTAGAATAATGTTTATAAATACTATGTTATTTGTAGAATAACAAAAGAGTTGGTATAACGTTTATAAATACTATATTATTTGTAGGAAAACAAGAGAGTTAGTATAACGTTAATAAATGCTATGTTATTTGTAGGAAAACAAGAGAGTTAGTATAAGGTTTATCAAAGTTATGAAATAGTTAGTCCAAAGTCCAACAAAAAAATAGGAAAAATATTGAAAAGCTGGTTGTTAACATTAATGTAGATTATGCTAGATGAGGATATACTGAATATTCATATTATTATGTTTAAAATTATGGGTTTTCTACCAACAATTGTAATACTTAGTATACAAGTAAGCCCAAGAACACCATGAAAACTCACCGTTGGTATCTTGGAACAAGACTTTTAGAAAACACTAAACTCTTAAGAGATGATCTTTTATACATGTATTGTTACACAAATGTCAAATCTACATTTTGTTTGTATTTAGAAGATTTCATATGGAGGATAGTGTGAATTGTTTATAGCTATCATGCCTACACCATTTAAAACATTACCATATAAAAGACGACATACATTATTATTGAAAATATTCACCATTGTACTTGCCATATGAGATGATCCTGGTATTTTTGAAGCAAATTAAGTGTATTTGAGGTTCGGTGTATAGGACGACCTTTATTGTCAAGTAAGTCTAGAATGTTATTTTTGTAAAGAAATTCTTATAGGTTATTTTTAAACTGTGCTAACTAGCACACTGGGGGTAATCAATGCAACCACAGGAGTGGGTTTTTTATGCTCTTCAAATGCTACAGACAGCTCAATGCAGCACAACTAAACTCTATTAGCTCCAGCTACAAGTTCTACTTGTAGCTAATGTCACTCTCATCAAATTTCATTCTAAAAATAAAACTAGAGGATGAAACTGTTTAAAATTTGACTAGAACCTTACTAAAAGTTTGTGGTTTAAAAAAAAAAAATAAAACATTTAATTTTGATTTTTTCTAATAAAAGAAAAAAAGAGAAAATAGTTATTTGCAGTCAGACTCTGAACAGTACATCTACAACGTGATTTTTAATATGAAGTATAAAAATACTATTTATTATCTCACAGTTTTTACATTTCATTTGTTTAATCTCATAAATGAATATCAAAAGTTCTTTATGGTAAATGTTTATATTTCATTTCTCTACTATATCACTAACTCTACCTATCAACGTACAGTGTTTAAAATTAAGAAATGGAAGTATTTACATAGAGATTTGTTTCAGTAACGCTTTGCACACACGAATGATGTAATTTTATTTATACACTTTTACAATCCAGGCAACAACAAATTAAACTTATAAAAATCATTAAACCTTTCAAATATGATTTTAAAATACAAATAATTCCTAATTAACTAAAATATGATAATAAGACCTAAATACAATTTAACTGTCTTTCTAAGTATAGCATTTTTATGTGCTATGATCAATTAAGTAGACAACAATACTAATGGCAGTTACATGCACACTGAGAGGAAAACTGTTTGCCAATTTCAAATTAACTGTTGATGGAGTATAGTGTAAATTGAGCTCTTTCTAACAACTATATACACTGGTGTCAACTAACTATGTATATGTTATATATCTTGAGGCAAAGTGTTGAAGGTGAGTGTGGCACCCATCAAGAGTTGGAAAATTTATATCTGTATCCCAGACAAAGCAGCTACTTTAGATATCATGTGTCAAGGAGGTCAAACACATCAATTTGACATACTCATGTACATTACCAACTTACGTGACTAAGGGTGAATCGCTGCTAAAGTCAAGGTTTTTCTAGCACGTGAATCATGTGACATGAAAACTGAGGTAAGTATTTTTTTTACATGCTTCCTCTGACACAAAGGAATTATAACTTAGATAACATAAAAATTTAATAATAATAATAATTTCAGGGGTAAAGTGGTTCAATTAAATTTTGAATGTAACACAGTACCCTATGCATGGTTCAATTAAATTTTGAATGTAACACAGTACCCTATGCATGGTTCAATTAAATTTTGAATGTAATACAGTACCCTATGCATGGTTCAATTAAATTTTGAATGTAATACAGTACCATATGCAGAAAGGAATTTAAAAACTGTGCAAAGGGCCATATGGTTAAGTCACAAACATGTAATAAACAACGTTGAACTTATTTTCTTTTACTAAAAATATTAAACCTTAAGATATAGTGATCTACTATAAAAATGTGTATACAAAATTATTGTATGTTACACAGGCTAACTTTTTTTTGATATAATATTAGCAATATATTAGTATGATAGATAAGATCAATACATTTCAAATAAAAAATATCCTGACTAATTATAACTAGCATGCAAGATAAGTAACTTCTAGTTATGATGGACCAAGACAAAATGATACAATTACAAACATGATATTGTAACACAGTACGTAGCACGGTGTCAATGTACTCAAAAAAGCAAATTAATATAATAAGAACAATATAGTTTGGTTAAATATGCTATTAACCACAGAGTTCTTACAGGTACTTTATCTTTGAACCTGTGTATAAGATGAGGGGTAAAATCAGGCATTGTTTTAAAAGTCAAAAGTATCATGTGAAAGATAGGCATATACAGTATAAATGTTTAAAAGGATTTGATAAATATTTTAGTGTTACATAGCCACTGTTGTCTCCACAACTTAAGTTTATAACAGCATCATTAAACAGTATTACAAAAAACATATATTCAATCGTATATAAAGTTTAAAACTAGTTAATGCAAGTTTAATAAAATTAAAGATAAACATACCAACAGCTCATGGCCATATAAACCAACTGGATTCTTCCGTTTCGCTCCACTTGACTCACGAGGAAATGGGCCATTTATAACATCAGTACACATGAGGCAAGCCCAATCCTCACTGTAAGACAATATATGAAGTATCTGTAATCTTAACTGTTTCAATACATAACAACCAAACCATCACTAAGCCTAGTCCTCACTGTAAGACGATATATTAAGTATCTTTAATCTTAACTGTTTCAATACATGACAACCAAACCATCACTAAGCACAGTCCTCACTGCAAGACAATATATTAAGTATCTTTAATCTTAACTGTTTCAATACATGACAACCAAACCATCACAAAGCACAGTCCTCACTGTAAAACGATATATTAAGTATCTTTAATCTTAACTGTTTCAATACATGACAACCAAACCATCACTAAGCACAGTCCTCACTGCAAGACAATATATTAAGTATCTTTAATCTTAACTGTTTCAATACATGACAACCAAACCATCACTAAGCCTAGTCCTCACTGTAAGACAATATATTAAGTATCTTTAATCTTAACAGTTTCAATACATGACAACCAAATCATCACTAAGCCTAGTCCTCAGTGTAAGACTATATATCTAAGGTATTGTTACATCTCTGGTCGTTTGTTAATTTTCTGTAGAAATTCTTTCTGAGAAACTTCAGCGATACAAGTCCTTTCTTAAATAAAACTAGTTTATTCTTTCTCAATTCAACTTTGCAATACACTTAATTTCCACAGGCACTTTAACTTAAACACACTCTATAATTCACCACGATTCACGCACTTTACTACCACGCTTGACTCAATTGTCCGTCTCTGTCTGCAATTCTAATTCCGATTAATAATTTTGCTTTATCTGGTGCACTTATATACAAGAATAGAGGATGCCTAGCAAATACTGGATTATTCGTGATGTTCCCCGATCTTTCTAGAACTCATTATGTGTTACAAGCGTACCGTGACTTCCGCTGTCATAACACTGCCCCTTCCTTAGTATTGTTCGTCCAGAATATAACCATTTCAATTAAACCAATAGATAATTAACAATAACTTAATTAAATGTACAGAATTTACAAACACAAAATTAAAATTCAACAAAGTCTCTTAATTTTATGGGACGTATCTTCTTCCGTACTGGTCTCTGTCTCGTTGGCTTCTGCTTCACGTAAAGTTCATCTGCTCCATCAGAAAATGTCGTATTATCAGT